TTGATCAGTTACGAATCTAACCCGCACATGTGCACTCTTTCAACCCTGTTCGAGTAAGTGTAAGATAATCGGTCTTATTTGATATGCACGCGGTAGAATAATTTCGGAGAATCCATAAAAAATTTCAGTAGATTATGTCCAAATAAGTCCACAAACAAGTTGTAATTAAAATGCACAGTTGAAAGCATTCTGATAATTACTGATCTTTATTCATTCCAACACATCTGCTTACACAGATCGAAAGTGTAATGTTCAATATTTAATTCATCCGTTTATAATCATCTCTCGTCCATGCCTCTACCCAGAATCGAACACGCATGACGTTTGACCAAACGAAATTCAACTCTGCAACCAGCTAGATATCATACGGTTTTTAAATAACTCATGTAAAACAATTGTTCGCCTTTATATCTGTGCTCTCGTGCACTAGGGAAAGCTCGAAAGTTCCTTTACTTTTACATTCCAATAAGCTGGATAAAAATCTATCAAGCATGATGTTTCCATGGTTTCGGAAATTTAGTCTGGCCTTTACTGCATTGCTGCATTTGCGGCATAAGTGTAACATCCGTGTTCCTTCAACGGTTGCGTATGTTGCTGTATGCTGCGTAGATATGATCATTAGATGTATGTGCATATATAAACTACTCATTATGAAAGCACTAAAAATCAAACCCACTATCCAGTTGGCTCAGGTTGGACGCATCTAACCTACAACACCTAATACAGAATCATCGCAAGATTCTTCGAGGCTTATTCATCTCGAATCCACTCGACAAGATGCAAAATTAAAGATATATATCATCTGTCTCAGCTCAAAGTATATATCAGACAGATTGCAATACTAAAATCTCAATAACAAAGAAATCAGTCCATGGTTTGCCCGAGTAGAACACAAAAAATAGCCATCAATGTTTCAGCATCGCTTGTTCCGCAGTATCGCACCAATTCGCTGTTGGATCCCTACAGATTACTTGATTCGTGAGCACAGTCATACCAGTAGGCTTCCGATTGAATTTCTTGGAATTAACCTATTGAGATCACCGAAGACACATAGTAACCGAAAGTTATAGTGAGTAAAAGTATCTCGTCCTCGTCTAAGTGAGGAATATGAGCTTCTCATAAGGTAGACCGCGAGCAGATGTGCAAAATACTAAACCACAAAAGCATGTTTTGTTTAAAGACAATGATAACTTAAACAAGCTACTTACAAACTGGAACTAAACAGGAAGGAAAGGAAAAACATACATTTCATAAGGACGAGGCTCATTGATGTAGCTGTATCGAGGTAGAACCGCATCAAATGTGCCAGAATTCAATCCAGTCGGCTAGAAAATGAAGTGAAAAAACAAATGTGTATCAATGAAATCCAGATAGCTGAATATGCAAGGAAATCCTATTTTATTTCAGAATGATGGATGAAATTGAATACAGAAATCGATGCGTTCCAAAAAAGGATTGGCACATAAAAGCAGTACGTTCACGATCAGGGATCAATGAAAACAGTCATTTTCTCTTCAACACATGTTCTGTATGCCAAATATTGTCGAGGATTCGCAATGCAGTCTTCCAGTAGTCAATCATATATCGAATTGCGGGTGTGTAATTGATGTTACTTTCTTTAGAGAAAACTATAAAGCGAAAGAGGTGTCTAAATGTCTTCACTTCGAGGAACTTTGGTAGGACAATTGTGATCTACCATATTATCTTGTCTTCAGCATGCCCAATAAACTGCAATGCGACTCGAACATGAAAAAACTCATCAACTACAGAGAAAATCGGCTGTTATTTGGAAGTTTTAAAATCAAGGAATTTGCTACTGGTGCTGGGGAAAAATTATATTCCAAGTGGAAACACCGCGACCGTGAAGATTGAAATGATGGCTAACAAAGATTGCATGAATTTACTGAGGATGAAACAAAACTACTCATGAGTAGTCATCATGTTACGACGAATCAGAACATCAATTATGGATCGGATGGCACCAAATGAGCAGCCACAAGACATTAGCCAGGACCGCTGCACAAATATGCATGGCCCATGGCTGTAAGGACTGAAACTGAGTGACCTTAAATCTCAAAACCTGTGTTTTATCCGCTATTTTACCAACTTGTTCGTTTTTCCTTATGAGTTTTCATGTTGTAGAAACCACAGTAAACAGTCTTCTATTCAACTACTAACACCAATATTTTTGTTCAAACCTCAAAAACACAACCAATCGTCACAATATAATTATCGCCCATTTTTTAGATTTCTAAGACGTAAGTGTATCGAACCACATGCAAAAATTTTTTGTACTGATATTTTGCATATTAGTGTATATTTAATTAAAATTTATGATGATCATCTCAAAAGCTGTTATAGTGTAACGAGGTGATACTCATATCACACACGACTATTATATTTGAGGCACACACTAGGAAACGGTCTGCGGATACTCGCGATGGTCAATAATGAAAAAACATCCCGGTGCAGATTAGTGGATTCAGCATTATAGTGGAAGAAGACGCAAGCAAATCACTGAATTTTGAGCCTTTCATGAAACTGTGAGCAACCTGTTTCACATTGTATGTTTCGTTTGATGAAACGTGACTTATTCTCTACTTATGTCATTCTTGCAATAAAGAATTCCTCTTTTCTTCGCTGAGCTTCGGGATTCCCAATAATGCCATTTCTATGTACGAATGACGTTACTTTATACTCGTGGTGTATTACTGTTTGTTGCGTAACTTAAGTATCACTTAACGTGTTCGGCAAGCTACATAGATAGAACCATCAGGCAGTTCTCCCAGAGAATCAAGGAACATAAACCAACTTGGTTGTCTACTGGAGAAAGAAAAACCATGACTAGTGCCATTGTCGAAAACCTCGCCAATACGGGACATACTGTGAATGAAAACGCTTTCAAGGTGATCTATCGGGTTCCTGCTTATCCATCTAAGGCTGTTCGCCAACAGCATCTAGCAACAGCTGAGGCAGTAGCCATCTGTCTGTTTAATCCATTGCTTTGTTCCCAAAAGCGATTCGTTAAAGCACTTCAACTGCCGTGGCCACGGAGTGAATTCAGTTGCATGGCTGGAGTTGACTCTTTCCATGACCCATTGACCCTTGCGATTGACCCCGTACACGAAACCGGTGATGGTTAACCCTGACTCGGTCCTAATCTCTCTTGTGACACGTCCCTTTCCCATCCACTCCATTTTTGTTTGTAAACCACACATAAACAACAAATTATATCTACCAATCCAATCCACACGCACACACAGGTCAAACGTTATGCAAATGTGATGTGCCTTGTACCTATTTATATACTATGTATTCATATATCCAGAAGATAAATAACTCTAGAATGAGATTAGAAAGTTACTACCAAAAAACAATATCTAGTGGATAGAGTAAATCACTAAAAAGTTTCACGTCCGGATTAAAAAGCGTGGTATAAAGAATTCCACTCCTAGTACACAAGTCCTATGTTGACTCTCTCCATCTTCTCCATGTCATACAATTTCAAATGACGCATTTCTTTCAAATGACTTACTTGCCACGAATCGGTAGCCGGATAATGACTTGAACTCCCGCCAATTTTTCGTAACGGATCCGGTAAGCGTTCTAACGTTTTGAGCGGATATATACGCTGGCATTTATTTTCCCAGTTGTTAGCAGATTTTCCGTAGGAACTGTGGAGAATATTGCGACAGATTATTGCATCTGCATTGTTGTACAACTCACTCTTGATAGGTGGAAGTGTACAGATACTTTTTAGCTAATTTGTCTTCTTCTGATAACAATTCATCATTTTGATATGCCTAATAGAAATGAAGCGATTAATCAGACCGGATAAATTATTCACATACTTAAAAAATTAATTGCTACGGGGTAAACACAAAACTTTGTCAAGAAAACTCACCATATATGGGAGTACACTGGAAATCGGCTTCTGTCGTGGAGTCCCTTTGTACGACGAGTCATCTGATTGTTGAGCTTTAATCAGTGTCTTAATAAAACAAAAATCAATACAACGTACCGGGAAATTTGGCCCGTATGACCTTATCTGACACATATGGTTGAACTATGGGAATAGGAATGCCTCGAGTTTCAGCTGGAGCATGATAAAATGACCCACGATCTGAACTCATATCCTTTCAGTTTTACTCTTGCTCATGCATATGAAACGTGAGACTTACGTATGGAGATTGATTCTGCGGTTTTTCTGGATTCGGTCCCATCATTTTGATTTTGGGCACTGTGAACTGATGGGTAGTAGAGTTGCACTCAACTGTATAATCCTCGTTCGGTTGAATTAGTGGTCTCCTTGTGGGAAACCCTTGTTCTTCCAATTTCCTAATCGCTTCTCTGCGACGCTGTTCCATTCGGGCTTTTTTCTCCCTCGTCAAACGTTTCTCCCGATCCACAACACTTTCATCATCACCAATGTCCACCTGATGAAACATGTTTGTGTCCCTGAGATAAGTTCCTGCATCTTCCAACTTTTCAATCGTCTTGGCTATTACTTCATTCATTTCAAAAGCTGAAAAATGAGGATTCCATAAAAGTTATAATTATTACGGTGAAATAAAAATGTTTTCTTTTTAATTCTTGGAAACCTTAGACCATTTTAATAATCTCAAAGAAACACTAGGTATATTAATAATAAGAATAATAAAATTTACTAAAAACAGTACAGTTCATTATGAAAATGGTTTTCGGCATTCTTTCCGATTTGCCAGGTGAATTGAGTCAGGCACACGAGGTTGATTCTCTCGCTTCTATCCTCACATTTTAGTTAGTTCAATTAGTCCAGATTTATTGTAAACGAAACCTGTACAATCAAGAACGTTGTGTGAATTTTATCTAATCGCATTATAGTTATTTACGCTATTTTACAAATATCTGTAAGGTACAGTGAGTATTGTCACTTACGCAATCTGGATAGTTTTGGATGTACATGCACAAAAATACACTCATGTGGGGGGGGGGAGTGAGCAAGCAGCAGAAGATGAGGTGAGTAAATGTATAAATCCCCAGTTAGAACTGGCATTTAGCCGCCGGAATTCTCTGAGTGTGAGTTCGCTGTACAATACGTAGAACTGGGAAAATCAGTCTGTCTGACAGTCTGACAATTGTAACCAAGACATTAAGTTGGCTTAATGTTGTGCTAAGAAATGACAAGAATTCGAAAGGTTCATCTCTGAGTGGAATTAGCTGAGTGATAACCAAGAACACTTCGCTACAATAGAAAAATTGGTGAAAATCACAGGCAATAAGTAACCATTATAGAAGAATGCACAGAATGGATATGGGAGTGACCATGGCAAGAGATTCGTACACTATAAATTATATGAAGCAATTGGTGTTCACAAATGAACCTGTACAAAAGCATCCTAGCTGTCTGAGAAAAGTAAATGTACTAGTATCATTTATATTCATCCAGCTATCATCAAACTACTGTAGGATATGTTGCTCCTATTGATGTGTGTGTGTTATAAATTACCACTTTCGATCAGAGTGGGTCACCTCAAGACTGGAAAAATGTTGTTGTAGTGGCTGGACCTCTGCTGGAAGTAAAAAACTGGAGATTGAAAACCCTTAATAGTATTCTTTGAAAATCAATAAACGGGATCATCGGAGTTCAAGTGTGCCGTCATGTTGTGTCCGGTTCAGCTCGGGTTCCTAAAATATCACAAAAATCTGTAATGCTTCTTGGGCGACGTAAGTTGATGGATAGACAAGCGCAGAATCGTAGAAATAAGTTATATGTTGTTTTGAACAAAATGTCTAAATTCGTACACAAGTTCCTACTACAAAGTAAGCTGATAATCATAAGTGAAGGTCAGTATATACTTTAAGGGGAAACTAACCTATTAAAAAACAACACAGCAGTCTAAATTTACATGAGTAGCTTCAGATCAAAAACTGAAGAGTGTTAGTAGCAGATTGCTTCAGGGATCTGCAATAGGCATCATGCTTGTTCGCAAGTCGGTAATATATACATATTTATCATAGCCAATATCCAGTTTTATTATTTATAGTTTGTCTCTCTGCACCTCCACAGTCGCCTGTCTTCATACATGAAAATAATATCAAATGTTTTGTGCTCACAGGACTTTACTAGTCTAACCTTCTTCAGGACAATAAAGGAGAATCGCTTATGCAGTGGGCGGCTGAAAGAAGTAGAAGCGAATACAGAAATCAGTATTTTTTTGCTAGGTTAGTAACCAGTAAGCGGTACGAGTTTGTGTTGAAAACACAATTAGAAGATAAAACATACCGTCTTGGTAGTGGATCAAAATTTTCAACTACTGAAGTAGGCTGATGGCTTTTTTCTGCCTTAAGACGAACAAAATGCCATTTCTCTATTTGCATGGTTAAAGTACGGTCATGTTGAATTGGAACAGAAAAGCAATGGGACTGGAAGTCGGATAAGAGCCGCTAATGAAGGAAAACCGTGTTCGTGAGATGAATAGTACAAGAGAAGTTATGCTTCATCCACTCGGCGCACTGTGGTTAGCTGGGGTTGGTATTGTGGGCGATAAAAAGATACAGTCCTTAAAAAACAATCTCCTTGGAAGTAGAGGTAGTGGTAGAAACATCAGAATTAAAGCAACCTTTGTTCCAAGGATAAGAGACGGGTAGTTTGAGAAAACCGCTCTAAGCAGCAGATTTGTGATGCTAAAATATGCATCTGGGTGTTAAAACCAGAGAGAAACTTGTGAGCTTAATGGTGAATAAACCTATATCTTTATCTAATGAGTTACAGAGAGAAACTTTAGTTTTATATGCAGTTCAGTTCAGTTCAGCTCAGTTCAGTTCTTATAACCATTAACCATGAGCACTTTCATGCTCCGGTTTTGACTGCTGTCTTTCGGTTGCCTATTTGGATAAACAGCAGAATGATGAATAGAATGTTGATAGCAGATTCAAGCGGATGATAGCACATTTTCATAGACTGAAGTTACAAGAATAATGAGTAGATGCAGGAGCGCCGTTGTTTGCGACACCCAGCTATATCACTCAGTGTATCTAACCATCGGTGATAACGATCTCGGGGTCCCCAAACAGGGAGTCTAACGGAACCTATGTGAGCCGGTCTCTTGGTTAGGGTTTCCATACCCTCACACCAGGTTTTAGTTTGACCTCCCTTGATTATTTTCCAACCGCTACCTGCCTCGACAAACATTGCTCGCCTTGATAACCTATCTGGTTACATGCGTAACACATGTCCTAACCAGCATAATCTATGAAGGTCCACCACGTGCTGCCGTGGATGACTGCGATTCCCTAAAACTCTAGGCCTAATCTCAACATTGCTCTTCCGGTTACCCCACCAAACTCGTGCAATGCGACGTAGACAGTTGTGTTCGAACACNATTTTTATCCTGTTCCCGATCCTTTACAGACAGCCGGATGTCGCGACGGCGCCATAGATGTCTCAACTTGGCAAATGCCAACCGAGCCTTCTGTATGCGAGCTGACACGTGATGCGTTCACCGGGTGATATGTAGCTGCCCAGATAACAAAACTTATCCAATTGCTCTATTACTTCCCCAGTTAGGGTGAGGCTGGGTGTAAGACCAGCCCAGTCTTGTAGTATCACTTTGAAGGAGCAAAACGCATACCAAACATGGCTAAACTGACACTCAAACTATCCAGAAAAACTTGCAACTTACCTGAGTCTTCACTTGATAGCACAATGTCGTCTGCATACTCTAGACCAGACAGTCTGCCACCTGGGACTAAATCGATGCCGCTATCCCCACACGAAGACAGGGCTGTTTCAAGAATTGAATCTGTGACAAAGTTAAATATAAACAGAGAGAGAGGACAACCCTGTCAAACACCACCTTCTGTAGTAGAGTCGGATGAAAAGGTGTCGTAATCTCGAACTCGGCTTCAGCTGTTATTGTAGAGGGATTGTAATACTGAAATTAACCTCTCGGACACATCCTTCAGAGAAATGCAGCGCCAGAGTTTAGAGCGGTCGACTGAGTCAAAAGTCGCTTTCAGATCGAGGAAGACAGAGACGTTTGAAAACAAGTCTTAGTTTGGATCGAAACGTTACAATAAACCTTTTACAATCCAATGTAAGTCTCCATTGTCTCTTGATATATATATATATCACTGTCTTGCAAACAAACATGATATCAAGGTACCGAAAACGAAAGAGTTAGAAAACAAAACAGTAATATGGAGTAATATGGCGTGTAGAATAAAACAGAATAATAATCAGTTTTTAAATGTAGAGTACACCTGGCNNCGTTTTTCATGCGATGGGTCCGGAGTACAAATCCCGGACTGGACGATAGATACTCATAACTGATGAACTCTAAAAAGAGCGAAGCTCGAATCTAGTGCTTCAAGTATGCGGTTGAATCGATGAACTGAAGATTATGCTTGAA